CAAGGAAATTTGGCTAATTGAATCCAGAATTGGCTGAGTGGCAGGAAGCAGAGGGTGATGGTCAAGAATTGTTTTGTGACTAGAAGCCTGGGTCCAGTTGGGTTCCATAGGGATCAGTGTTGCGGCCCTTGCTGTTTGTGGAATATATAAATGATTTAGAATTGTATGTCAGAGGGTTGTTCAGTAAGTTTGTGGATGATATGAAAATATGTAATGTGGTAAATAGTGAGGAGGATAGCTTGAGATTACAGGAGGATATAAGTGGTTTGCTTAAATGGCCTAATCAGAGTCAAATGGAATTCAATCCGGATAAGTGTGAGGTGATGCATTTGGGCAGAGCAAGGGATTACATGATGAATGGTAGTACCCTGGGAAGCCTCAAGGATCAGAGAGACGCAGGTGAGCAAGTCTACGGCTCCCTAAAAGTAATGGACAATAGATACAGTGCTAAAGAAGACATGTGGGATAGATGCTTTTATTAGTCGAGGCATAGAGTTTAAGAGCAGGGAGGTGATGCTGGAACTGTATAAAATGTTGGTTCGTCCATAGTTAGAGAATTGCGTGCAGTTCTGGATTCCACATTATAGGGGGGATGTGATTGCTCTGCAGCAGGAGAGCCTGGGCTGGAGAGTTTTACTTAGGATGAGAAATTGGACAAACTGGGGCTGCTTTCCTTGGAGCAGAGGAGATTGAGGGGGTCAGGAATGTGGTGTATAAAATTATGAGGGGCACAGACATGGTGGACAGGAAGGAACATTTCCCTTGGTGGAAAGACCAATGGCCAGGGGCATAGACTTAAGGTCAGGGATGAAAGGTTTCGAGGGGCTATGAGAAAAATGTTTTTCATCCATAGGGTTGTGGGAATCTGGAATTCACTGCCTACAACGGTGGTAGAGGCAGCAACCCTCATAACATTTAATAAATACTTAGATGTGCACTTGTGATGCCAAGGCACACAAGGCAATGGGCCAAGTGCCGAGAAATGGGATTAGAATTATTAGGGAGTTTTTTTCCAGTGTGGACTCGATGGGCCAAAGGGCCTTTTCTGTGCTATGGATCTCAATGATTCTATAACTCTGAAATAATGCCAATGGGCATTAATTAGATGCTTCATTTTATTGTTGTGATACATATATTCCGCTCACAGAAAGATGAGAAGCAGTTACATTTGGAAATTTCAATGGGGATGTAGGTTGTGTCTACCAATCTTAAGCATGCACAAAATGTTTAAGGGTGTGGCAAAAGCAAATCTTTCTGCAATATGTAATATGTTATTTAAATTATGTAATAAGATCAAGGGAAAAATGTTTTAAACGTCTGAAAAGCAAATTTAGGACTGATATTTGTAATTTTCTTTATTCACACAAAGTCAACTCATTTCAAACACTGGACTTCCAGATAGGGTATGGAATATTGGGTAAACAACTAGATACTGAAATGGAGGCACAGAAAGGCTATCAAAATTGATCTGGTAGCCCCTTCACATGTTGGAAGGTCAATCCAAAGGGTTTTTGCATGTTTAAATTAGCTGTCCATTTCCTCGTTTCGTTCAGATGAGCAGCCTATTTGATTTCAGTCCTGCCATTGGTAAAACTCCCCCACAGTGGGACAAAGTTGATAAGCTGATCCTACCCAGCTCCCTGTGATTTCACCACCTCTCCCAGTTCCTGGGAGCAGGTAAATTCAAATCAATATTTATATCTGATTAAAAATACGTGTATTTACAAAGTACCTTTCAAAACCTCAGGATTACGGTGCTTTACATGGCACAATTTTTTGACATCTAAGTCACTTTTGTAATGCAGGAAATATGGCAGTCAATTTACATGCAGCAAGTACCCACAAACAGCAATGTGAAAAATCGCCCAATAATTTTTCCTTTCAGGGATACATATTTGCCAGGATTGTGGGGATAACTCCGCTTTTCTTCAAAATAGAGCTTCTACATCCATCTGAGCGAGTAAATTATGATTTGTTTTGACATTTTATCTGAATGGTTGTTCCTCTGACCGTGCAGTGTACTCCCTCAATCCTACATGTAGTGACAGTTCTTCATGTTCAGTGTTCTGGAGTGGGAGCTGAACTCTTCAACCTCATCAGCTGAGCTTCCTTTATGTGCGGCTGTATCAAGCTGTGCGTAGACCCTTGGTACGCAAACACCAAGTGTCACTACATACTGAGGTTCTACCTGTCCCCAGTGTTACGAGGGATGGCTCTGGCCTCATTACTGCAGAACACTCCAAGTAGTCAGACCTTTCTGTATCACCTGTCCCTCATGGAAGAATTTTCAATGAAAAACACCTTTGACCACAAGTCCATCAGGCATTGGTCAGCACATAATGTCCTCAAGATCTTGCAGGAAAAGGAGAAGGTTGATCCCTGAGCAGACTGTCAAAGTCATTTGGCAGAATGTCTCATCGCCAGAACTTTGCAACAAGCACCAAGACATTGCTTGGCTGGTAACAAGAAGGGCACTACCCGTTAGATCCTTTGTGCATGCCCAGATTCTCTGTGCAACCGCACACTGCCTCAAAGTGGTTGTGGGGTATGGGGGTCACTGTCACACATCTCCTTCAAGAATGTACCTTTGCAAAGAAGGTCTGGAGAGAAATCCAGTGGTTTTTGTCGAGGTTCGTCCCGAGCAGCTCTGTGACACAGGACCGTGCTGTACGGGTTGTTCCCCAGGATACACACCAACGCAAACATTGATTGCACCTGAAAGACCATCAACTTAGTGAAAGATACTCTTTTGTAAGCCAGTGTAAAGAGTTGACCTGGACTGTGTGTTGCAGACTGGCACATTCCAACATCCAGGACTATGTACTGAGGGATGCACTGAAGCTTGGAGCAGCTGCCACCAAGTTGTAATGGGGAAACACCGCTGTCTAAGGTCTTTCTGCCAAAGTAAAACAGGGATCCATTCAGTTGTCAGACTGCCTTGTTGCCTCAAAATGCAAATATTTTCTTCCGGCATGAGCTAAATTTGCCATTGTTATTTGCCACTTCACGAAAGCTCTACGGGATATAAAATTCCAGTGTGTCGTTTGGGTTTCTTTTTCCTCATAAAAATTGTACAGAACAGAATGATAACCTTTCTGTATGTACTTAAAGATGATTTCTTTATGAATAAAGTATATTTTTTGCAATAAAAAAGAAGAATCACTGATGACACATAGGGCTGGATATCCATCTGCAAGCTGGATATTGGGAGGCAAATTCCCAACTTTGCACACCTGCCTCAGGAAAATGTGGCTTCAGAGCACTAATTTTCATTACGGCAGGTAACGGTGTATGTTGTGGGTCAGGCCATTAGAGTTTGGAGGACTGAGTGCTGAGCTGGGCTGTTCAAAAGGCCCAACTCGGTGCTTTGAGACTTCATCCCAGTTATCACAATAACACTAAGGCTCTGTACCCCCACCCTCCACACATTCTAACACCCCAAAAACTCCCCGTGCCTCATCCATGTTGCCCCATGCCCTCCACCCAATCCATTGCATCTCATAAACTCCATGCCAAGTCATACCGCTCCATTCACCCCACAATAGCCACATTCCCTCATGCCTTTATACTTCTAACCTGTGATGTGACCACTTCCCTAAAAGTGCTATCCTTATAATCCTCTGCCTTATGGATGCAAAACAGTGACTTGAGCTATCGCTCAATTTCTGAGGCCCAGACTTCAGCCTTGTGCAGCCCATGACCTTTCCTTTTGATATGTTCAGCTGAGACCCATCATATATTCGAGACTTCATTAATACCTCAGAATGTCCACTCAATTTGGCTGAGCTGATCTGCCACTGCATAACTTTAGTAACTATTCATTACAATTAGAATAGTACAGAAACATACAAGTACTCACCAATTAGTTTTTGTCCTGTATCAGAACTAAAAGCCAACTGCAGGAAGAAGCTCCCAGTTCCGACTCCGCCCTTGAGCTGTTTTCTAGTTTCCCTTCGCACACTCTTTTCAAGCATTCAGACCAGTTCCCCTTGATATGAAGAGAACCAAAGGTATTGTTGTTAAATTTGCTGATGACTCAAAGATAACTAGGAAAGTAAGATGTGACAATTTCATGAGGAAGCTACCAAAGCATGTATAAAGCGAGTGGACAATGATCTAGCAAATGGAGTATAATGTGGGAGTTATGGAATTGCCCATTTTGGCAGAAAGAATTAAAAGAAGCATTTTATCTAAATGATGAGGGATTCCTAAACTCTGAGAGACAAAGGGATCTGAGGGTCCCAGTGCATGAATCATAAAAGGCTAGTATGCAGGTTTAGCAAGTTATTAGGGAAATTAATACAAATTTAACATTTATTGCAAGGGTAGATTTTTTAAAAAAATGTAGGGAGGTTATACTTAAGGCATACAAGGAACTGGTGAGACCCACATCTGGACTACTGTTTCTATTGCTGGTCATCTTACTTATGGAATAATGCAAGGGCATAAGAAGCAATTTAGAGAGGCTTTGCTAGACTAATACCAGGAATGTGTTATCTCATGAAGAAAGGACAGGACAAGATAAGCTTGTAACCACCAGAGTTTAGAAGTACAAGAGGTGACTTGACAGAATGAGAATCTGAAGGGTCTTAACAGGGTAGTTGTGGAAAGGATTTTCCCCTTGCGGGAGGATTGGTAATTAGGGTCACTGTTTAAAAATATAAAGTCGCCCATTCTGCTCAGGGATGAGGATGCTTTTTTCTATCATTGTTGAAAGTCTTTGGAACACTTTTTCCTGAAACGGCAGTGGAAGCAGTATCAGAATATTTTTAAGCTGGAGAAAAATACATTCTTAACAAGCAAGGAGATAAAAGGGAAGATTGAGAAATCAGGTCGGCCTTGAATAGAATATTACCTTATTTTTGATTTTGTATGTTCATATGTATGTTTGTACATGTATTTACCTTTATGATCTTTCACTGCAAGGATCAATATTCCACATAAAGATTTTATTGGAATCAAGCATGCAGTTGCTGAAAGTCCGTATGATTTTGTTTCAGGTGTTGAGATTTATTCCTGAACCGGGTCAACCACGCAGGAGGGGCAGAAACAAGAACATGGGCCTTGTCAACATCCAATTGGAGCATCATGAACGCTGTGACTGCATCTGCAGTTCCAGGCCACCCCGATAAATTAAGAACTGGATTGCTGATAGAGGCTGTTGAGGACCTTTATTTTTAACAAAATTGCATTTGTGTACAGATAATCGCTGGCAGATGCTGTTTTCCAACATTACAGAAAGTAATTAACTGCTGTGCTTGAATATATTCTTTAATTAGCATTGTGTCAGCCAGACTTTCATCATAATGCCTTGCTTATTGTAGTCAAAACATTATAAAACTGGGTTTTATTAATTCAACCAGCTTTTATGCAAAGACAATCTTCAACTTTTTTTTCTAATGTTCAGAATGTCATCTCAATCAGTTTATTGGATTGAAGTCTGAGAGCATGTCAATCATAAAGCAATGTTTTTGGAGACAGTTGAAGAAGGAAGTTAACCACAGATATGGCTTTTCTATTTTCAGAAGCACCTTGAACGTTTCACATTTTAACAACTATTTCAGATTAAATGTGAAACTGCTTTAAGCAAAGCGCTTTTGTAAGTCTACTTAGAGTTAAAATGTTTCTCAGGCAATGTTTGTTAATGCTTGGATTTCTTTCAATTACTTTTATCACTGAACATGTAAATGATATTTAAATGCTTTTCTTCCAATCCTTTGCAAGTCTACTGAAATATAATGCAAGTTTTTCATTTATTTTTGGCCAAAGAAACTAATCCTTTGTTATTGTTTGTTACATTATTTTTGTTTCATTTTGTAATACATAGTGTTACACATGATGATTAATCTCCACAATCATCTTCTTAAAAGGTAAAGCCTGTTTCTTTAAATGAAGGATGGTTTAATTAAAGTACTAGCAATGTACCATGGTTCAAAGAGGCCTGATTGTAAGACATACTTTGATCTTCCAGCTTTTTTAAAATAAGAACAATATCCATCAGTTGAAAGTCCGAATGCAAATTGGCTCAACAGATTAGATTCTGATGGGGCTAATAACTATATGAAACAATGCTTGAAGTGAAATGTTTTAAATTGAAATCATTCAGTTTCATTCCATTATAAGAAAATATAATTGGTCTGATATTTTCTATTCTCATTTATAATTACAGTAGTCTTCAAGTAATGGGTATCCAAATCAATGATTGTCAATTAAAGGCACCAAGTCTTTGTGTCTCACCTGTTCAACTCAAATCTTAGTCTGAGGGAAGATGACAATTACTTTAGCAACTTTATATGTCTATGGTCAGTACTTACATCCATTTTAATGATTGCATATACAATAGGGAACGGTTATGCCATTTTGTGCCCACAACAAAAATCACTTGTCATTGTTAATGCCAATTGCCTTTGAGTCATACTATGTGGAGAAGCTAAGCAAAGTTTTTTTTTATAAAAAGGATATTTCCTTCTGGCAGTGACAGTCTTCAATAGACTATCATATTTGAAAATCCTGTAAAATTCAAAGACTCAGAAATGACTCCATTATAAGTGAATTTAAAACATATTGAACTTTTACTGTGCCATTTAGAATCATGCAAGGCTTTTAGAATTAATGGTGAAGAATTTTGTTCAATTTGAGCACCATAATTACAAATTAGTTGGTTAATGGAGTCAGTTGCACAGGAGGAGTTCACGTGCCAGCTTATTGCCTGCTTAAGATCATGTACCTGTAAAGCTCTCTGCACCTTATAAATTAATGCAATATTATCTTTCAAATTCATATCCCAAAGCACCTTTTTTTTGAGATTTTCAGTCATCTTCAGATTTAGAAGTTAAGAAATAAGGAACAAAAAGTGATTTTCTTAAGATGATATTTGTTTTTTCTTAAGATTAGACATTTTTGGTTTCCTATGGGTTGTTTAGTAATTTGCTGTGCTACAATATTCTTTCAGTACTGCAAGGATTAATAGCCTTTAGAAAAATTCTGCAGGGTCCTGGGATATTGATGTTGCTCTTGTGTAATAAGAACACAATTTCCTAAAGTGCAGTTCTTATACTTTAATACAACTTATTTTTAAATATATATATAGCATTTCAAACAGCTTACTTTGATTTTTTTTTGTATGTATTATTATGATTAGAATTATGATGTGCTCTTTGTCTTGATGGAATGTAAAGATTGCTTGAGAAAGGGAATTGTAGAGGATTATTTTTTGTTATAAAATAAACTAAAATTTTCAACTTTATTTGTTATGCTGCTTCCTGGCCAATCCACAATTATAGAGTCATACAGCACGGAAACAGACCCTTCGGTCCAACCTGTCCATGCCGACCATAATTCCAAACTAAAATGGTCTCACCTGCCTGCTCCTGGTCCATATCCCTCCAAACCTTTCATATTCATATATCCATGCAAATGCCTTTTAAACGTTGTAATTGTACCCGCATCCACCACTTCTTCAGGAAGTTCATTCCACACGCAGACCACCCTCTATGTAAAAAAATTGCCTCATGTCTTTTTTAAATCTCTCTCCTCCTCACCTTAAAAATGTGCCCCCTAGTCTTGAAATTTCCCCACCTTATGGAAAAGACAACTACCATCAACTCTATCTGTACCTCTCATTATAAACTTCTATCAGGTCACCTCATTGTCCATAATTAGTAGAAGCTTTGCCAGACAACGCAATTAGGATAAAGAAAAAGCTGGCATTTATTGTGCATTTTCAAAAATGTCTTTTTTTGAGCTGTTATGCTTGTTTTGTGTCACTGAAATGTTTCCCACAACCAACCATTCAAGATATAACAGGCTGTGAACTGCTTTGTGATGACCACTCAGGAGTTCTATACCGAGAAAGGCAGCTAGACCTGGGAACAGGTACCTTTTGGAAGAAAAGCACATGGGTTGAAAATGGATTTTAGTCCAGTTGGATGAAATACTGGAGTAGTAGATCCAAGACTTGCATAATGAGGATGACAGCATGACCAAAGAAAATTGATCAATCAATCTTGTTCGGATAGTGCTAAGCTGGCTGAGATAACAGCCGGGCTGAGACAGGGAGGTGAGGGGTCTTGAAGATTCATGGTAGCTGTTAGTGTCTGTGGTTATAATTTGAACTTGGCTGGAAAATTCCTGCTCCTCCTGACTCCATGTTCAGCTCATGAAAAGCTCTAACCTTACCTTTCCATTTGGAGACTTCAGAACTGCTATGCATGTGAGGAAATGTTGTAGTCTTGTGGTGATCAGGGCTTAAAACAGACATTAGGTTTCACATCAACTATACAGCACACTTAAAAAAATGTTGGTAGTACACTTCCAGCATGAGCACACACAAGTCGTACACTTTATTGAGTCTTGCATTGTCTTCCTTTCACTCAAAATCAGTGACGTAAAACTGGGTGAAGCCACAGAGAGATTTATAAATGAGAAGAAAGATTTTAGCTTTGATGAATACAGAAAGGGATGATGGACAAGCAATCATTTAGCAGGAATAATTGGGTCTTTTTCCATCAGCAGGATGTTGTGTGTGATATGTCACAGGGTTGGCGCTGATGCCTCAACTCTTTACAGTTATGTAAATGATTTGGATGAAGGGACCAAAGGGATGGTAGCTAAATTTGCTGATGACACAAGGATAGGTAAAAAGTGAGTTGTAAAGAGGCCATAAGGAGCCCACAAAAGGATATATATAGGTTAAGTAAGTGGCAAAGATCTGGCAAATGAAGTATAATGTGAAAACATGTGAAATTGTCCATTTTGGCAGAAAGAATAGAAAAGAAGCACATTATCTAAATAGTGAGAGGTTGCAAAATTCTGAGATGCAGAGAGATCTGGGTGTCCTGTGATAGGGTTAGTGCATGAATCACAGGAGATTACTACGCAGGTGCAGCAAGTCATCAGGAAAACTAACAGAATGTTATGTTGTATTGTGAAGGGAATTGGATGCAAGAGTAAGGTGGTTATGCTTCAGTTATGCAGGATGTTGGTGAGACCATATGTGTACAGTATTAGTCCATTGTACCTGCAAAAAGATGTTAATGCAATGGAAATAGTTCATGGACATTTGCTCGACTTATATCTGAAACGAACAGGTTACCTTATGAGGAAAGGGAATAAAGGCTAAGCTTGCATCCTCCAGAGTTTATAAAATTCAAAGGTGACTTGAAATGAGGGCTCTTCACCGTTTGGATGTGAAAAGGATGTTTCCTCTTATGGGAGAATCTAGAACGAGGGAATCATAGGATAAAACTAAAGGGACATTCATATCACACACAGATGAGGGGGATAAATTCCCTCAGGATTAAGTAAAATAATGAATGAATAATTTTCTTGTTAAGTGTATTTTACAGTGAGAAAAACAGTAAAATACACTGAAAAGCTTTTCCACTGTTGTCACGATCCAGCGCCGTTCTGAATAGTTTCAAGAATAAGAAAAAAATTGGAAAAGTATAATTTAAAGAGTGATGCTGAAGATCTAAAACAAAAAAAAGTGCTGGAGAAACGCAGCAGGTCTGGCAGCATCTGTGGAGAGAAAGGAGAGTTAACGTACTGAGTCCAGTAACCTTTCTTGAGAAGAAAGGTCCTCGTGCATTAAGTTCTAGTTCTGAAACATTGACTTTGCTTTCTTTCCACTGATGTTGCCAGACATCCTGAGTTTCTCTAGCAATTTCTGTTTATGTTTCTCTCAGAATGTTGAGAGTCTTTGGAGTTCCCTTCCTCAAAAGGCAGCGGATACAGAAGCTTTTAATATTTTTCAGGCAGAGGTAGTTAGATTCTTGATGGACAAGGGGATGAAATTTTATTAGGGATATGCAGGAATACACAGTTGACATTAATATTGGATCAGCCATGACCCTATTGAATGGCAGAGCAGTCTCAAAGGGCTGAGTGGTCTACTCTTGCTTCTTGTTCTTATGTTCAGAATGCGGGTAACAGAATTTTGAGTGTGTGCAGTTCGTTCTGATGGTTCTTAGCAAACTGACACAGTATGACAGAATTATTACAGCACAGGAGAAAGTTATTTGTCTAGTCATGACTGCACTTGCTCTCTGAATAAAAAATTCACGAAGTGCTACACCCCACCTTTTTTGCGTAACCCTGCATATCTTTTTTAAGATAACAATTTAATTCCCTTTTGACAGAATCACCAACTGAAAGATCTTTGTTTACAAGTAATCAGTGTAAATTTTTACCAGTTTTGCTTTAAGTATAGACAAAAAAATAGTTATGTTGCCATTAGCAAATGGTTCTGTAAAGCTGTCTTACATTTTCAGTAGCATAATTCAATATAGAGATATGAGAACCAATAGTTGCATCTGACTGTTGCTTCCTTCCACTTGGGAGGGATTACATTATGTAAACCGATTTACATCATTTATTAATGTTTCTTTTTCTGCTGGAAATCTTAGCTTTTTATTATAGGCATTACACCAGCCCAGGAGTTCTCCCTGTTCGTCTGGAGAGTCTTGATCCCCTTCTGTAACTCTTACAGTAGATTGACAGAATCCTAACAGAAAAAAACAGAAAAATCTTCTGAAGAAGGGTCCAGACCCGAAACGTCAGGTTTCCTGCTCTTTTGATGCTGCCTGGCCTGCTGTGTTCCTCCAGCTTCACACTGTGTTGTCTTTGAAAGTAACTATTTCTATGAGAAATCCACAAAGTTACATTGGGGAGATTTGAAGAAACCCTGCAACCATTCCCCTCCCCCTCAATCTCAGTGATTCTCTGGCTTTCCTTTTGACTACCAACAGTCTAGGCCAACATTGCTGAGTTTGTAAGTTTTACTCTCCCTCTAAATGAGGTATTAAAAAGGCAAAGTAAAATTATTATGCATAAATTAGTATTTCCTTTACCAGTCCCGAAACATTTAAATGAAGGGACAACCATTGCCCAAATCATATCTAGCAAGTGCAGGTAACACCATACTTTAGCCAGATTAACTGCATTGATTAAAATTTCCTTTGTGACAGTTGCAAATGAACACAATGCACTTCCTTATATTTTATCCCAATTCCCATCAGGCAAAACATTTTTTGAAAGACATTACCTTGATGATCTTACTCTGTTATCAGATTATGAAAACATACATTTTTGATTAAAATAATGTCCTCATCTTGAATACATCAAATGGTGAGGGTTGGACTTTATTCTGTTTATTCTGTAGTTAATCTGGATAATACAACTTTTATTCTTTAGGTATTGGGATCAATGAAGTTGAACCCTGCATTTCTACAAGATTAAGAACAGAATGCACTTCAATGGCACTAGTCCACAGATTTTGATGAGATGTTCCCTTTATTTTCCAACACCTTCTGTCATTGATACCCTTTCCCCAGTTCTTTACAGGAGGCACAGGGTGATTGGTATATTAATTATAAAGTCTGTTAATTAATGGTTAATGGCAACAGTTTACAACAACTGGTGAGAGAAGACAATTACTTTTCTTCAGATACTTTTACTGCAGAAAGATAGAGAACCTGGCCTTTCAGTAGCCTGCAGGTTTCTCCCACTCTATTATAGACACCCAAGCTGATGGCTTGCTCAGAGGCCAATGAGAGAGCTGTCTTCAGGCAGATGACTTCTGGTATATACATTTACATAATGCAGTCAGTTTCCTGTTACTGGTTGAATCACTGTCTGCACATACAACACAGTCTCATGCCATCCTTTCTCACTTTCCCCACTGCAAAGCAACAGTGTAAAATACAGCTCACAATGAGTTCCAGCTGCTTGTTTTTAACACGCAGGTATTCCTTCCCCAGTCTTTGGTTTTAAAAACATTCCTTTTCCATTTTGGTCCTCATCAAAAAATAAAGAAAAATAAAAAGGTTTAGTCTGTACACTTCTTACATCTTCCTTGTGACAGATGTTAAGCTGGCTGGATGTATTTTCAAACAAACAGAAAATCATGGAGAAACTCAGCAGTTGTGGAGAGAAAGATTTATCGTTTCAAGTCTGGTATCACTCTTTTTTTCAGACTGTAGTTTCCTGTTTTCCGTCTCCCAACTCTTTCTTAAAATAATGGAGTTACAGTCATTATTTTCCAAACTAATGGACTCTTCCCCAAATCTAGTGAATTTTGGAAATTTGAAGAAAAATATATCAACTGGCTTAATAAAAGAAAAATACTGTGGTTCTGAATTCTAAAGTCCAAACAGAAAATACTGGAGATGCTCAGCAGGTCTGACAGTATCTGTGAAGAGAGAAACAGAGGGAAATTCTTTTCAAACAGAGTCATATCAAACTTGA